CGATACTTAGATCCGGCCAAGGAAACGCGAAGATTCAGCCGCGGACCTCAGCTTTCTCATCAACACTAATAACACACAAATAGCACTATTCCTTTCTGCTGCTTGGGATACCTTCGCAGTGAATTCACCTCTTAAGCACTTCAAGAGCCCAAGGCAGTCTTTGCCATCCTCGTGGATATTGCAGGCGAGGTGTATCGATCTTCTGGCCAGATCCCCAACCCCGAACGGAAACATAGGGAAAAGTCATACATTTTCTTTGGTACAACACTCGTTTGCTCGTTGTCCAAACCTCACCAGCTCAGGTGGAGAGGTGCTTGCGCCCAACGTGGAATTCTTGCCATATCCTCAAGAGTGGGGAAGCCACTCGGAGCCCATGCGCCTCCTTATCGCAGTTGAAACTATAGACTAACAACGACTAAAATGTCTTTAATGATATCATATATATATATATAGACTTTCTTGTAGAAATTTAGGCAGAGTGTCACGATGTTAACCTCAGCGGTTGTTTACTCTAGTGGCTTTTCAGTGTTCAAATCTCTGTATGCCCCCACCGGTTTGTTCCAAGTGTCGCTTCTCCCTTGCCATAGAGGGCGATTTGTGGTGCCTGGGCTGCGCTGGCTGGGAAGCCATTGGACGCGAGCTCGGAGGACATTGGGACATAGGTGGAGCCAAAGTTTTGGCCAACGACCTTGTGCTAAATTGCTCTAGGCAAGTGAGAGCTCTACGTTCCTTGGGGGCAGGTATCTCTACCGGGGGGGGCAGATCAGTTGAAGCTGGCCAAAGCCGTGCTTCTGTAGCACCTCCACCACCAGCTCCTGGCCGAGACCACGGTGACAGGGACACCCGAACTAGGAGTGAACTTCCTCGACAACGTGCCACCTTTAACTTGCCTCGACCTCCTTCCCCACCTCGAAGGGCAAAAGAAGAGCAGGTGACAGAACCTTTGAGTGAAGAAGAGGAGGAGGAAGAAGAGGAGGACGAGGAAGGCGACGATCCTGAGGTGAGAGGTGCCGAACCTAAGAGGAAACCCCCAGGGCCTGATCCTTCACCGCGGCGCGAGCGCCAGCACTCTTCCAGGCGATCACACCGTTCAGCTGGCCACAGCCGTGCTGAGCGAAGTCGATCACGAAGAAGAGACCGAACCAGAGGTTCTCATACACGTCAATCGAAGCCACGGAGGAGAACCAAAAGAGCTGGGAGGAAACATCAACGACTCAAACGCTTGGCAGAGGATCCTTTGTTGCGAGTCCATCGAAAAGCTGGACCAGGACTTTTGGAACTATTGTCAGTGAGTCAAGGCCGCCACGCTCTGGAGCAATCCGTTTGAGCAATGGCAGACTTGGACGAGGATGGAGTCGAAGTGGATGTAACTCAGTTGCAGGCTTGGAGCGCCCTTTCACCCGCGCGCGGCCAGATTTTAGAGGTTGCGCTGGGGCAAAGCAATTTCCACGAGGCGCCGGCCGTTTGGGCCGCCTTTGTGATTGTACGAGTGTCCACCCTTTTAGATGGATCACTAGTTCTGGAATGCCGTTTCCTGGGGTCCGAAGATACTTCAGTGGATGGCCGTCTGGACACCGATTTCAACACAGAAGGGAATTCAATTCACCTTTGCTTGTCGCGGCCTTGTTTAGATATTTCAGAAGGCGAGCCGGACCTCGGGGACTTTTTGCATGCAACCAGAGTGCGTTTGTGGAGCGCGTCACGTTTTGTGGAGGTTTGCCCTTACCTTTCGGATGCTCAGAAAAAGAATGTGAACAAGTTTTTGAAGAGCTCTACAGAAAAACCAAAGGCTCCCAGGACTCCCCGTGCCAAAGCAGCTACCGCAAAAACTGCACCAAAAGAAAAGAAAGACAGGGGCAAGCCTGGAGAAACTGGAGGAAAAGCCGCCCCTCGCCGCAAGCCTGCCCTTCGCACTCCCAAAGAGACAGAACCTGGGGACCCAGATATCCGGGCATCCAAAGAGGAGCTGCGGCAGAAGTTGAAGGCTTTGCGGGTCAGACTTCAGGGCGATGGGAAGGAAGAAGATCAGGAGTATTCTCCGGGAACCTTGGTCGACGAGGAGCAGAAGGATGGGCTAGATGTAGAGAGCTCAGACTCTGTGCAGGCAGATGGCCTGACGACAGGAGCCAACTTGGATCCTCTTCCTCCAGAGCTGGCGAAAGCCGTTGCTCGGAAGGACAAACTCCGCCGCTCTCGACGTCATACAGGCGGGGAAGATGCGCTCGCCCTGGTGGATACAAAAGACACCACTTCGAAAAGCTTGAGCGGCCAACTGGTCCAGAAAGCTCTGGAAGTGACTCGTCAGAGGAAAGCAAAGAGCTCGTCCAAGAAGAAGAAGAAGGTGTCAGGGAAGACGGATATGGAGCGGCTTTCCAATGTCCTGGTCAAGGCATTGCAGAAAGCCAGTGGGGTAACCCCCAAGGAGACCGAGGCCACCAAGAAGAAGAAGCGCAAACGCAGAATGTTGAGGGATGGAACGATAGTGACCTCAAGCGCCAGCTCAGGAGCTTCCTCGGGGGCGGAGACAGAAGAGCCCTCAAGCGACGAGGACCTGGAAGCACCGCTCAGAAAGAAATCCAGGGACCGCCCAGGAAGCGTTTTGCAGCTCCTGGTGGCCCACATCAGGGACCAGTTGGACCAAAGCGCCCTGACAGAGACCGGCCAGGCTTCAGCCGTGGTGACTGGGGGTGTGAAGGTCATGACCTACTTCAACATCCATGTCAAGGGCGCCTATCCTCAACACCTTCGAGAGTTGAGGGAGATGTTTCATTTGGCCTCATGCATAGATGCTATTCGATCTGGGGACGTAGCTCGCTGCGCAGACGGCTTGGCAGCGCGGTTCATAGCTCTACATCAGTCCTTAGTGGACGGAAATTGGGGAACAGCTCGTCACTTGGAGCTGCATGCTATGGAAGACGTGACCGCTGCCAGCCCGTCCGCCATTTTGGCGACGCGGCGACATGCGAAACTGGTTTCAAAAATGCAGGGCTACCCCTCCAGCTCCTGGGTTCCGGGAGCCGGCCGCGGCCGTGGAGGAAAGGGCAAGAACGAGTGGAGCTACGGCGACACCAGAGGCGAAGCAAAAGGAGAAGGCAAGACAAAGAACAAAGGAAAGAAGGGCAAAGGACGCTGGGACAATCGCCCCAACTGGGACACTCCCCGCAGCAAAGACTGGGAGAAGAACAAAGAGAAGCCAGAGGAGAAGCCCAAGTAGCAGAGGAAGCATCTCTGGTCAAGGCCGTTGAGATCGCTCCCCAAGCTCCTTTGGCTGACTTGGGTCAGATCCTACGTTTGTGTGACACACTGAGACGCACCGGGTGTGTCCTGGCTTGGGGCTTGATTCATGTGAGCTGTTTCACCAACGAGCTCCAGAATTCAGGCATCTATAGGCTAATGTTTGCCTCCAGCGTGCGGCAACGGGCCGGTCGGAAACGACTGGCTCTTCCCTTGCGCGAAGGCGAGTTGGCCGGGACTGTGAACACCTTGAAGGCTGTTTCTTTGTGCGAAGCCGCTGAGGATAGCTTTAGTACTCGTCATGCCGAAGCTTGCTGGACATACTTGGCTTGTTTTGCATGTAACTCCTTAGTGGATGTGCAGCGGCCTCTTGACTCAGGAGGCTGGATAAAGGCTGAGGAGCGGGCATGCGCAGCTGTCAGGCTGATGACGAGACGTCTGCTCAGCCATGGACGCAAAGAACCTGTGAGCTCAGAAGGCATAGAAAAAGATGTGAAGCTTGCACGGGTGAACTATTTGGGTGAAGAAGTAGGGAGTTGCCATAAGTTGACACTGCGGCAGATCGAGCCTGCTCTACCACCTAAAGAACATGGGGGATGTATTGATTTGATGGATTTTGTTTCACCGGTGACTGGAAATTTCTTAAGGAATCCTGAGCACTGTATCCTTGAAGACAGGGGCCAGCAATTGCCAAAACTTCAGGGAAAAATCCATGTTGCCGAGGGAGAACTTCCTGCCATCACGAGCGCACTGATTAGTTGCGGGGTTTGTGACTGGATTCCTTTTGATGATGTCCTTACTTATCGTGGGGAGCCTGTTCTAAACGGTCTTTTTGGGGTGCCCAAAACATCATGTTTGTCTTCGGGAGAGCCTATTCTTCGTGTTATAATGAACTTAGTACCTTCAAACTCAGTGATGCTTCAGCTTGAAGGGGCTGTTAAGAACTTGCCCAGTATTACTGCTTGGATGTCACTGGTGGCCGATGAGGGTGAAACTATCAGGATTTGGCAGTCAGATATGACCAACGCTTTCTATCTCTTTGCCTTACCTCCTCAGTGGAGACGCTGTTTAGCGTTTAACATTGTAGTAAATGGAAAACAGATTGACAGAGACCCTGCTGGGAAGTATGCTTTGTCCTGTTGCGTTTTACCCATGGGTTGGCTTTCTTCAGTTTCAGTTATGCAGGAAGTCAGTGAGCGTATCTTGTTGCGCAGCATGTTGCCTGCGGGAGAGCAAGTAGTTCGCAACCGCCCTCTGCCCTTATGGATGGTTGGTCTTTTAAAGGAAGCCCGAGAGCACCGTCGTATATGGTGGCATGTCTATTTGGATAACTATGCCGGAGGGCAGGTGTTGGGCGTTTCTGAAACTTCAGCTGCTGGTGATCAACTCCACCAACTAGCAGAAAAAGCTTGGAGAGAAGCACAGGTTGTTTCTTCAGAAAAGAAAAGGAAGCGAGCAGTTGAAGAAGCTGAAGAATTGGGAGCCCTAGTCAGCGGAGCCACAAACACCATTGGGGCGTCTCCTGAGCGGATCCTCAAAGTGATACAAGCTACTTTGTGGATTCTCTCTCAAAAGCATTTATCAAAGAAGCATGTGCAGGTGGTGGCAGGACGTTGGGTCCACATACTGCAATTTCGTCGGCCGGGTATGGCCTTCTTGGATTCTACATGGCAATTTATTAGCAGCAAGACTTTCAGCAGCCGTCTGGTAGAACAGGTAAAGAGAGAGCTCTGGAGTTTGGTGTGTGCAAGCCCCCTCTTACATACTGACCTGGGAGCAACAGTTTCTAATTTTGTGACTGCGTCGGATGCCTCAGGTTTTGGTGGAGCAGTAGGGATTTCAAAGCAGTTGACGTCTGTTGGGAGCGACTATGTAGCAGCAATGACATCTAGTGTTCGCTCCGTTGTCAGTATCCCGGTGTTGGTGATTTCCCTCTTTAATGGAGTAGGAGGGTGCTTCAGATGTTACGACATACTTGGGCTTGCACCTTTGGGACTTATTAGTTTTGACATACATGGGCCCGCCAACAGAGTTTCGAGCAGACGGTGGCCCCACTCGCTGCAGTACCATGATGTGAGGGAGATTGACGAAACCATGGTCCGAGGATGGCTTCTTAAGTTTGTCGGAATAACAGAAATCCATGTCTGGGCAGGCTTTCCATGTACGGACCTTACGGCACTGAAGTCAGGTCGAGAAGGATTAGCTGGAAGTCAGTCGAAGCTATTTTATGAAGTGCCTAGGGTTCTAGAAGTGCTCCGGAGCGCTGCAGGGGAGCTGATTGAGATCAAACTGGTGGGCGAGAATGTTGCCTCTATGGCAAAGAGCGAGTGCGCGGAAATTTCAGAGACTTTGGGAATTTGGCCATACCACTTGAACTGCTCTGACGCAGTGCCCGTGAACAGGCCTAGACTATGCTGGTGTAGCGAGTCCTTTGAGGGGGTTCTGGATGGGGTACTTTTTGAGCGTGAAGATTTTTGGACTAAGGTAACTGCTGAAAACCCTTATCCAGATCCAGCCACATGGATAGAGCCGGAAGTTGTTTGGACAGGTGCAGAGTCTGGCGATGTCTTACCAACATGTCTCCGGGCCATCATCCGGAGCCGACCACCACCGAGACCGGCAGGTCTGTCAAGGTGCGACGAAGACACTAAAGAGCGATGGAAGAGTGAGCATTTCAAATTCCCTCCATATCAATACTTGTCCCGTTTTCTCTTTTGGAAGGGTAACAAATGGAGACTCATTGATAGTACAGAACGAGAGCTGCTCTTAGGGTATGGTTGGATGCACACACATCTTTGCATGAGCGCGAGTCAGATTAAGAAGTCTGCTGCAGCCTTTGAAAACGAACGACTTTCTCTGCTAGGAGACAGCTTTAGTATTTATTCTTTTGTTATTCCGGCAGCCGCCCTGTGCAAGCAGTTCTTGCCTCGGATGAGCTATGCTCATTTGTGCGATCGCATGGGTCTGGCGCCTGGTTTTGCAGCTCCATGGAGGATTAAGATCCCTTTGGCTAGAAAACTGCAGTATGGGTTTGATGGTTCAAATTTATTGATGTCACCACAACTGCTGAATAAAATCTTACTCGCTAGAGTAAATCACATGGGGTTCTGACATCCGTATAACTACTGGCGAAATCCTCAACCCAAAAGCCTTCCCTAGGCAGGCGGTTGAAGCTGAATGGTGGGACTGGGAGCATGTCTTCAAGTTTAGATGGGCTCATAAAGAGCATATCAATCGGTTGGAACTACGAGCAATACACCAAGCTGTTATGTATACTATTTCTCATTTTCAGGTCACGCGTTTGCGTTTGTTTCATTTGACTGACTCGTATGTTTGCCTTTCATTGATAAGCAAGGGTCGCAGTGGCAGCCGTTTTCTGAACAAGTTGCTCAAGGTATTGAACGCAAACCTTTTAGCCCATGGCATCACACTGATTCTGGGACATGTAGAGTCCACACAGAATCCAACCGACCATGCGAGCCGGTCGGCCTAAGTTCTTGACTAGACGAACCCGCGCTGAAAGACAGAAACAAAGAAAGGACATGATACTAGCAGATGCAGCTATTTCAGTTCGAACACAAGAGAGGTACTATGATGCTATGAGAAAACTTTTGCCTACACTGGAAAAGGTCAAAGGACCGCCTCAGCTGGATGACGCAGTAAGTGACTGGGTTGAAAAACAATGGAGAGAGGGTCAAACAATTCATGTTGTTTCAGACGCATTGTGTGGCCTTCACCACTTTGAGCCCTATACCAAGAAGTTGATCCCATCAGCATGGAAATTGTTTCGCACTTGGCGAAAATTGGAGGCCCCCAATAGGGCCCCTCCACTTACAAAATACATAATATATTCGTTGGCTCACTATGCGATGATGCATAATGATTTAGTTTTTGGAACTTTGCTTTTAATGGGATTTTTCGGGTTACTCCGCACTGGAGAGTTGTTGCTGGTAAAGCCGTGCAACATCCTTGTTGCAAAGGAACGGGTAATCCTTTCACTGGAAAGCACGAAATCTGGGAAGCGTAATGCTGCTTCCGAGACCGTTTCTTTTGATGATCCCTTCGCAGTGATTGCCATTGATCAGCTGTTACAGTTACGAGAACACCAACGCTTGCAGCATGTCCCTTGTTGGCTTCACTCTGCACAGAACTTTAGGAATAAGTTCAGCTTTTATTTAAAGAAATTTGATCTCCAAGGCCACTGTTTCAGACCTTACAGCCTCCGAAGAGGAGGCGCGACTCACCTTTTTCAAACCACTGGCAGTATGGAATTGGCCTTGCTTAAAGGCAGGTGGGGATCGGCCCAAGTGGCCAAAATATATTTACAGGACGGCCTTAGCTTCCTGCCGATGTTAACTTTTTCTCCACGTGCCAGGGAAAAACTGCAAGAGTGGAGGCCTTTTCAACACTAAAGTGTCAAGTAAAGGGGTCGTGGAATGGCTTTTTGAACCTTGTTTGAACCTTCCTTCCATGGAAGTAAATGTTGTTTCTTTTTGGGGAGTTCCTGCCATGGAACTGAAGTCAACTCTCTACCATGAGAGAAGCAAGACAATGTGTGTTTAAATCTTTTCGCAGCCTGAAGGGCGCGACAAAGCGAAGAGAAGGGAACTGTGATTACTTCTCACAGTTCATAAAACCTTACAGTCACACGCTGGAGGTGGAAAACAAGAGTGCACCGATGCCTATATATATGTATATAACAACTATATATATATATATAATCACTATATATATAATATATATAAAAACTATATATATATATATATAATAACTATATATATATATATATCATATATATATATATGACTTTATAGACTAGTGCAATATCAGAAGGTGTGTGGCACATGTTTGCGGTATCCTAGGCGAGGCCGCTTTGTCACTGCAGCTGCTTTGGCGGTACAACCAAAAGGCGTCACAGTCTCAGATTGCGGCGAACTTGAAAATCTTGGATCGCAATGTGAGTTGAACTGTGAGTTGCTTGATGTTTTTGAGGTTGTTGCATGGAATGTGCTTGTCAGTGAGCTGGGCGAGGCTTGACTGTCGGGGTTCGCTTCGGTCTGGGAGCATATGGCAAGTCACACAAACTCTTCTGACAGGAGAACCTGCTGCAGTCGACCATTGAGGTGCTCAAAAAGACGAACGTGCAGCAGTTGTGTTACCTACCTCGCAGCTTGGAAGATCAATCTTGCAGCTGTGCGTGCTTTTGAGCGTGTGATGCAGAACCTTTCGAAGGCGCTTCGCTCTGCAGTGCCTGATGACAAGTTTGAAGTTGTCCTACAAGGGTCCCTTGCCCAGAGACTTCCAGATTGAATCAGATATGGTCAGATATTACCAGAAATGATCAGATTATGTCAGATTGTTCTTGAACGTAACATAGTGTATCCTACCGGAATCATACCGGGTTCGAACCCAGTAGTGACGTAGTGTGTGTTTTTGCTATGACGCGCTGTGCCAAGCTTTGCTCCGGATCTACTTGGGCTTCAGGCCGATCCGCCGCAGCTGCGGCGTGGCCCAGTGGTTACTGATCGGATCATGGAGAGAGGTGGAATCGGTGGAAGCGGTGGAAAAGGAAAAAATCGGAATGAATCGGAATGAACAAGGGAAAGATATATGGAGAGATATGGAGAGAACATGAACAGAGTCAGAGTAAGAAATGAAGAGGTAAAAGAGATGAAGAGAGGAGAACATGAAAGAATGAAATCGCAGGACACAGCATTTCTTTGCATTTCCATCGTCTCCTGACATTCTTCAGTTACTTGGTACTTGAAGCTGTTGTGTGGACGGAAGCGACTTTCCAAGCCGAACCTCAAGACCTGATTCTTTGATATTCTTTGATATTCTTTGCATCTTGACCCTGTTGATGTGACTGGCCTTTCGGCCCAGTGCTTCAACTTGCTTCAACTTGCTTCAACTGCTTGAGCTTTATGGTGCCACCGACTCCACAGACTCCACAGACCTCCAGAGTAACAACAATCATGAACAATAGAATAACAATAGTAATAGTAATTATATATATATTATAAATAATATTAATTACTGTAATTAGATGTAGTAAACAGTGATGCTATGTCCTGTAGAGTTTACTACTGGTGATACTGGCACTCCATTCAAAATGCGGTTTGATGTTCAAATATCGAAATGCAATGAAGCGCAATGCAGTGCTTGTTGAGGTTGTTTGGCAAAATCAAACGGTGTTGCATGCGCTTTTAACGGTCTAATCTCGATGCAACCCTTTGATTAGGTATCTTACTCTTGAAGCATACTGTGAGTGAGAGAGCGCGTTTTTGGCCTGTGCATGCGAGCCTAATGTCAGTGAATGGAGCGGCATTGCCACAAGCAAAAGGCGCGCAGGGTTAACTGGCATGTTCACGATATTTTTTTCATAGCAAGATGCAGCACGACTTTGATTTTAAGTTGCTTATTTTTCCTGCCAGACTGCGAAATTTGGAGAGTAGCTTGCATCCCAGTACAGTCGTGGAGCTTCTTTCTGCCACAGCTGCTTGCAAAGTTTATATTTAAAGCCTGTGACAGGAATTGACATGAGCTGTAAAATGTGCATTTTCGTATTCAAACATCTTCTTTCTGGCAAAAACAACCCGGCGGGTTTGAAATCGGACCTGCAATTTGATGAAATCTCACGGACCTCCAATTCCATATGTCCCTTGTTTTGCAAGGGGTTTCTTTGTAATTCAGTCATATGCAGTCAATCTTGTGGTTCAATTCCAATATGTACTACATTTTCACCTGGTATTTTCTGTGTTTTTGTACATTCAATGGTTCAAAATTTGGCCTATTTGGAAAGGCCTCATGTCCGAAACCACAGCACCAGGCACTTTTCCCGGATAGACCTCACATTCGGTTCAAGTAGCTCCAGTTTTGGATAGCAACGCTTGGCCTTGCAAGTTGCTTTCGCACCTCCATTGCCATTCCCCAGCAATATTTCCAAATATTTGCAGAAAGCTGGTTCATGTTATGGTTTAGAGAATATCTCAGAGTGTAGCATCCAAGTACGTCACGTGTGGGAGGAGAAGTAACTAAAGTCCGAGAACGTTGTTCATCCCCCTCAGCCTCCCTGAAACCCAACCGCAACGTGACCTGAGGACATGAGAAAAGTGTGCAAGATGCTGTTACGGTTTTCAACCCATAGGCAAAAACAACAAGCAAGTGGCACACTTCCGAATTTTTCTGTGAGGGTTCTTCCCAGAAGCAATGACTCGTTGTTTCACACTGAGGCCCTAGACTTAGGTTTTGAAATCTTGTGAAACATGATTGAATCCACGAACTGGAAAGCGAACCGGAGAAGCTTCAGCACTTTAACTTCCAAATGCATTTCTCGGAAGGCGATTACAAAAAAACTCTTGTTCTAGAAGGTTTTTCACAACACCCTTTCTATAAGCCTTTGGAAACTTCTAGAAACCTGTATAGCCCGTATAGCGTGCTTTTGCAAGCCTTTTGGAGACAACTGTGCAGCCATGTGGAAAGGTCTGAGGCATCTCCCCGCTGCGGAAACAGACTCTGCAAGCTATCGTATCGTTTTAGGCACAGGCCACACAAAGTTCTGGTGAAAACCTGTGAAAAGGCTTGTGAAATTTTCGAAAACACACCACAGTCAAGCCTTCCGCATCCTTGCGCCAAGTCATGAAACAAGATGAAACAAGTGCGCCAGAGAATCCACATGAAACCCTTGGAATGCAAAGCGCAGGCTCTTTTGATGTGCCTATCGACGGGGCACGGAGTCTTTAGTAGCCATGCACACGATTGCAGACCGTCGCGAACGCAAAAAGGAGTCTCAGCCATCACACTTCCATCTCCACATCATTGTTTTTGGGAAAAATTCAGCAGAACTGATTGAGACACATTTTGGCTGGATAGAGCTTGTATGAGCCAGCCTTAATAGTCTCTCCAGTGCTCAAGATACGATTGTGGTACTTGTACGTACTTGTGGTAAAACTTCCCGAGGTCCATTTCTGTGCAAGGGGACCGCTTGGAGAAACTCTCTTAGACCCTGCCACCCTCTCAGGTCTCTTGGAGATAGCTCTGCTCACTCTGCTCAACCCGAGTGCTCTAAGTGCCTCTAAGTGGCTCTAAGTGGCGCTAAGGTTCATGCAGAATTGCTGTTCCTTTCAAAATGGCGGCCACATCTTCCTCTGCGATTTGCATGGATCCTAGACAACTCCTAGACGGACAGATGCAGTAGGAAAGCAGCTGTGTGCGAAGCAATGGTTTGGCAAATGGTCATGCGAGGAGGAGTCTCGCTATTCAACTGTCGCAGCACTCGGGTTTCCCTTACCTGGCCTTACCTGGCCTTACCTGGCCTTAGAATTGCTGTGCAGTCTGTGATTTTGTCACATAAAGTACCGAAGTGGATTGAATTGGAACGGTGCGAGCACGACTGGATATGAATTTGGTAAGAAGCAGAGTTCTTCGTATAGACCACGATGTGCAAACACTTCATATAGAGCTCCTTCACAGAGCTCCTTCGAGCTCCTAGTTTTTTTCGTCTGTTTTCTGCTCTTTTTTGTACGTATGTTTGGTTTTTTCCATATTTTTCTGGTCTGCCAGGCCTTTGCCTGTAGCTGTGACCAACGATGGCATAATCTCCAGAGAGGACGTTTTCGATGAGGAATTGTTTTAGGAGTTGCTCACGTGACCAGAGTGACCACTCCTACCACTTTTGCTTCTTATCGCAGAAGAGTCACTTCGTCATTTTTATCGGACTTTTTACGTTAAAAAGCGGCAAAGACAGACTTGCAAAAGCCTGACATATCACGACATATCCGTGTACTGCATTTGCTCTGTAGATATGTTGGTTGCAACACAAGGACTTGCGGGCCGCCCTGGTTGGACCTCAGTTGGACAAAGGGGACCTAATTTCAATGTCTTTGACATGCACACCAGTATTTCCATGGAAGCAGAACAGTACTAGCTCCGTTGTTCTTGAAGTTCTATAGGGGTCTCGAAGTCTTGGATAGTCATCGGATAGTCATCGGATAGTCATCGGATAGTCATCGGATAGTCATCGGATAGTCATCGGATAGTCATCGGATAGTCATCGGATAGTCATCGGATAGTCTAGATGTGTCTAGATCTTGGTGTCTTTTGTGTTTTGCAGGCTGCTCTAGATCCAGATGGCTATGGAGCTGCTGCCGACGAGTCGTTTTCCTGTTTGTTAGGCAGTGTTAGCGACCACTGCAGATATGGCGGCCAAATAGAAACTGAAATCGGAAATAAGTTTGAAATAAGGGCAAAATTGCGGCAAAACGTTTCAGAACACTTGGCTGAACCTCTTCTCGGTCCTCCCATTTGTTCACACGCCCTGCGCGAATTTGGCAGACCGTTTGGGACTCCTTACATCTGTACTCCTGTACGAGGACAAAACAGTGAGTTCCTGAGCACTCTCTGTCATGGCCATATCATCTCAGAACAACTTCGACCTTTTTAAACTCCTTGATTGACATTGACATTGATTATATTGACTTGACATGACATTGACACTATTAACATTGATTGCTGCTGAAGCCTTGCTTTAAGACCATGCGAAACCCATGGCAAGGTCTGGGAGACCTACACTCGCCCAACGCTGACTCAATCATCTCCTCCTGGCTTTGGTTGGGTTGCAAGCTCAGAAATGGGCTAACCTAACTTCATGGACGACAGGCCGGCACTGTTTCGACTTCATTGGATCATCTAGATTTGTTTACGAAACTTCGACCTGACATGATTTGACATGATTTGACGGGATACTTGACATTACTTGACATCTACTCCGCCGTACTCTGTCGAGTAGAAACAGCTTGTGGCCCAAGGCAGCAGCGATGGCAGAGCAGCGATGCCAGGTTAAGCGGCTGCGTGAAGAGCAGGACTGTGTGGGTGCCATGCAAGCCACACCACAATTATCTACAGTTTGCGCAGTTTGTGTCAACAACGAACAGCTTTTGTTTTCTCTGTATCTTTTCTTTGCACGTACTTACCCTTGGGAAATCTGCGGACCTCTTTGTCCTTTTTTGGATTCTTTTGACCCTTTTACTGACTGAACCAAACAGTATAGTGCAAGATTGCAACAACATGTGCGAGCCATGAATGCGCTGCTCTGCTGTGCTGTTTTTGCTCTCCAGTTCTTTCACGAGCCCTTGAACACTGCTGCGGTCCTGGTTGAACTGCGAAGTGTTTTGGAGGCCTTAGTGAGCTGGCGCGAACAAAACTCAACATGTCAATTTGAGCCGCTCCATTGGTCATATGCACATATGATATCACATGATATATTACATATTATTATTAACTTTACTTATTATTGTAATATTATTATCATAATATTATCATTAATATAATTATATATACACATACGATTACAGAATATTACACACGCAATAACATGCTTACGTGCCATGGTCTGTTTGGGTGCACCGGGTGCACTGCAATTTCAAGGGTAATATGGCCGAGTTGTTTAGGAAGATCCCTTGTCAAACTGTAATGTGCTTTCTTTAATTAATTGGCTACCAAGCTTGCCAAGCTTGCTCGTTCATTGGATCTGGTGGAGGGTTTGAAGGCAGTGTCCGATCGACTGGATGGCAATGGAAGCTTCGGTGGTTCGGTGCCAGAGCCTTGGCGTTCGGCGTTTGGTTGTGCTTAGCTTGACACAGCTATGCTGCATGGCTTTACTATGCTTTACTCTAGGATGCACTGCCTCAACCTGCCTTAACTTGCAATCTTTTAGACAAAGAGAGAGGATGCCTGGACATATTTTCTGGCATCTTGATCATCTTGCAACTCAAAGGCCCGAACTGAGTAGCCTGGATGCGCGTACCTATGCGTAGAAGACTTAGCTTCATGTCTTGAGCTTGGGAAATAGCTGTAGTTGAAAGCAAGCACGGCAACAAATTTGGCAACAAACTGGATTGCTTAGCAATGTCTTTTCAAACTTTCTCTCTGTGTGCATCGTGGCATTGAGGTTTGCAAAGTGTTGTGGTTTGCATGACAGCTCTGTCCTGCGATTGTATGCTCTGGTTCAAAAGAAACGCTTGGCAATTTCGCCTTTGCTTTCGCCTTTGCTTTCGAGACTTGGAGTCTGACCAGTCCCATTATTTTCCGCCGGCAATGCCTAGATCCAAAGTCATTTATTTGTTGAGGCATGGGGAAGCCAAGCACAATCTCTATGATACAGGTCCAGGCAGCTACGAGCGACGCAGGGACCCAGCACTGATGGATCCACCTCTCACTGAGAAGGGCGTGGCTCAAGTAGAAGCCGCAAAACAAGAGATAGAAGAAGAACCTTGTCCAATCATGTCCAATCAGTACATTTTGTACCAATACATATTTTAGATTATTTTAGGGCCATTTTGCTGCACACCTCGAACTTGAACAACATTTTGCAGTTTTAACATATGTTTTAACGTTTTAACATGTGTTCAATCCTTAGGTCGGTACTTGTGCATCGCAATAAATTGATATATATATATATATATATAAATTGTCTTGCTTCCATTGTTTCCCTTTTTTCCCTTGTGCCTAGATTTAATTTAAGCCCTGCACGATCCTGACACACGCCCTGTACCAAGATGCTCAAAAAACACGGAGACGTTGGCTTTGAAGCGGTTGTGAGTTCTACACTTTGCCGAGCCCTACAAACAGCTGAGCTGGCCATGATACCATCAAAGAAGGATACCTCAGATGTCTCCCTAATAGCTCTGCCAAAGATGGCCGAAATCCAGTGCGATGACATATGGAATGAACCACTGTCGCAAAGTCAAATTCAGAAGGATTGGCCAAAGTGGAGTTGTCAGGGAGAGTCCGTTTTGGAACCAAACCAGTTAGACACAGCTCAGTCATTAATTCAACGAGCCGAATATGTGTGGAACATTCTCTCAAAATTACAAGGGTCTGTAATTGGAGTCTCTGCCCATGGCTGCTTCCTGTTCTTTCTGTCTAGGCGACTTGCTGCTGCACAGAACACTCGATTGCCTCCGTTTAAGGAAGACAAGTGGAAAAATGGTGAAGTCCGCCGCATGTGTTTGCCAGAACCAGATGGCAAGGAGATGAGTTGGGCCGAGTTCGGAGGCTTTCTGGAATTTGCGGACTTTGATTTCTACAACCGATACCATCGCCGAGCGACCTTTGTGAGTTCGCTGCGAGTTGCAGGCTCTTCTCTACCATATTGGACGCATCAAGAGTGGCGTTGGGCTCGTAGCGACTCTGACATTGATGCTGAGGTTGCAGATGGAGATTGCCACGGGCTTCAGTTGAGACTGAGAGGTTGGAGTTGGAGTAGTTGGAGTTTGAACAATCTTTATCGATGCATGTTGTGCTTTCCACGATGCTGCTTTTCTCGCGCAAGTACGAAGCTCCAATAGCTGAGCCACAGTCCACATCACGTCTCTCCTTTGCACTGCTTTGAAAAAGCCAAAAGAGCAAGGGAGGATATAAAGTGGGAAGTAGCGAGAACCAGAAAGGACTGAACCGGCCAAGAATGCGATGGAAAAACCAGCAAAGTGCTGATTTGTGTGAAGATTTTGGATCAAGCTGTGCTTTGCACTACTTAGTGACATCTTAGTGACTTCTTTTTATAAACACTTTTTAACTGATTTGAATTGTCTACATTTGTCTACTCCGTGGGCTCCCACGAGGCAGCTTGTCGTGCTTCTCAGCATTCCATGCCGTGGCTCCAGTCAGGACCCATGAAATGGAGAAAGTATGAGAAAGTAGCAACTCGAGTCGTAAGTCGTAACTTCTGTTTTGTGCTGTTTTCTGCAGTTTTGTGCCGATCGTTGACGGTTTGTGTTGGTTTTGCTCATGATCATGTGGCGTATTTGTTTGAGACTCTTCTGCCTGCCTCTCTATCCTCTCCATCCTCTCCGAGGTTTAGAGAAAGTGTCAAACCCTCAGCTGCTTTTGCGCCATTCTCGGCCAACGATATTTCCCCCATCCGAAGGTTTGGATCCACCAGTCGCAGACTTCCTCAAGTTTACAACAAGATCAACAAGTGTCCAATAATGTGTCATAATGTGTTCAATACTTTAGGAAGTTTACAACAGGAACTTGCAACAACATGGCACAACTCACCAGACTCACCAGCTTGCGCATGAACCTCCTTCCTACCCTGACTAATTGACTCAGAAACTCGCCAACCAAGGGAACGCAAGAAAACATACAAAATACACAAAAATAGAGTGTGTCAGTGTGTCAGGCGAATGATGTGCGGAAGTGTAGAACATTTTAAACCTTCAATGTATTCTTTTCGCATTTGTTCAAGGAAAGACAACCTCTCCATGTGCACAGGGAAGTTCAAACATGCAGCGCAATGGACGCAGATTGTTTTATTAGATCTAGACTACGCTAGACTACGCCTCGAATGTCATTCCGTTTTGCCCTAGCATATATAGGTCCTCAATCAATCATTCGCTCGCTTACTCAAGACAATCCAGGCAATCAATCACCCTCTCAGCCTACGCCACCCTATGTCAGCCCCTCCGTCCTGCGAAGCGAAGCTTTTGTGCCCTGCCATCTGGGATCTGCTGTGACAATGCTGTGTATGTCACTGCACCCGAGGCTGGCGGACTTCCCGGCTTTGTCCCGGTATGTCGGCTGCATCGAAGAAAGGTGGAACTGCCATGGGAGAAATCCTGGAGACAAAATTGTAGCAAATGCAAGTGACAGAAGTTGACCAAGTGCATCATGAAAAGAGTGGAGACTCATTTTCTGGTGATTTGCCATGCTGGGAAGTGTACATCAGGGATTTCGTCATTTTTCCTTGGTTCCGTTTGCTTGGATCTGCTTGGTTGTGCGGGGGCAAGCTGCTATTGCTCTAACGCACAATTTCATGTTTCTGATCAAGACATTTTTAGAGAAATGCCAACAGTGGGCTGATTTCGCCCTGCCATGAGCCTGCCATGTCGTCGCTGGACGAGATACAGTCCTTGATTAATTCAGCCAAAGATGAGCTTGCTGAAAGTCGCAAATTGAAGGAGCAGGTGGAGCATGAAACGGTCCAGGCTGGGAGACATAGCAGACATAGTCAGACATAGCCATGTGAAAGAAAGGCCTTGCAATGGAGAATTCAATAGAATTCGTGACAAAACAATCTAAAGCTTGATTTAAACATATTTTAAATATATGTTCTGTTTAGATGTTGAGACTCTGCTGAGCTTCTCAACTGCATTGACTACAGGCACTTCATCGCCAGCAAATGCGAAGACAGCTGGATGTGATTCGTGAAGCCATCCATGCAAACAACTGCTCCATCGCAAGTTCTCGAGCATACCGAGAAAGAATCGACTCAGACAGCCACTTGCTGGCATGCCAACCCACAGAAGTAGTCAACCGACATGTGCCAGCATACTTGACAGAGATCACGCCTGGAAACAGTGCAGACATTAAGAATACTGAGCAGGACCTCAGTAGAACTTGAAACCTGACAGACCTGACAGACCAAAAGAAAGATGTTTCCGAATGTTTCCTTTTGGTCTCACCGGATGCACCCCCACCTGGTGGGCACATGGGCACATGGTGGGCACATGGTGGGCACCCTTCTGTGCGGACTTGAGGTGATGGGACTTTCATGCCTGGAAAACCTCGACCTGCTCAAGACTCTATGAGCTGTGCCGGCCGACCCGCAGGAGAAGTCACAACCTACAGCAAAGTGGTGGATAGACATGAGCGCCTTCGGTATACACTTCATCTTCACATTGCTGAACCACATTTGATTCTGATTCTATCAGGTGGATTCTTGTTGACTATGATTGAGTGAAAGGCAACTCCTCGATGTTTCCACGCGTAGCCGAAAGAGAATCAGTATGAGTCACGCTGTGTATATGGAATGTGTAGGGGGACTTGTTGATTGCACGAACAACCTTGAGAACTTTCCAAGTTGTATAGACATTGAGATACATTGAGATCATTTGAGTAACTTAGGTATGTGTGGAAGATCGAAGGAATGTCTTGGTTGGTTGCGGCACTCAAGAAGAGGGCGCAATCTGTGGCTGCAGCGGAGCAACCATTTCTGGTAGGTGACACAAGCTTTGAATGTGTGCCATGTTCGCATTGAGTTCGCTTTGGCGATATTGGCATTGAATGAAACATGATGCACCCGTGTTTTCAGCGGCACATGATTGCGCTTTGATGCAGCGCCTGATCGTGTTTCGATGTTTACTGATGCTACTGATGCGGCATATTGTCTGGCGAGCTCAGGTATACCATCCTCGGAGTGGTGAAATCGGTGATGAGAACCAGCGAGGTTCTCTGGCCATCATCCACAACGAGAGCGGCGGAATCACTTTTCGTCATCAGTTCTGGATCAAGCGAAGTGATGGCGAATTCGTGCAGTGGGGTCACACTGCTGCCAAGTCCTCAGCCAAATTCTGCTGTGCGGATTGATCGCTGCTTTGAGCAGAGACAATTCTGGTGGATTACATATGATTACATATGATTACATTGACCAATGTATTGACCAATGTATTTAGACTAATTTAGACCACATATTTTTCCAGTCTAAGGGTGGACTTGTCGCCTTGAGCGGACAGGAAGAAAGCCATCCGCTCAGCGACACACTTGGCCGAGCCTTTGGACCAGACGTGCACGAAGGACCGAAACATGCCGAGACCCTTGAAACGACTGAAACGACAAAACAATTAGAGCAAATTAGAGCAAATTAAAACAAATACTGTATATAGGTTTAACATGGTTTAACTCATTTTAACTCGATAACTTGGTTTAACAAACGGTAGAACAAATAGATATCAGGGATGGTCAGGGATGGTCAGGGATGCCAAGCTGTGCAGAGCCTAGAGTTGTCAAACGCTCCGGAAATCCCTCGAGATCTTGCTTAGGCCAGACCAAACCAGTAGAAACTTGATATGTGCATATATGAATCATATATGTGCATCATGCACTGTGCATCATCTATATTCATTTATGCCATGCTGCTGATCATTTGATCGGATGGGACCAAATCAGCACCGTAAACATACCAGATGCACACGAAATGCACACGAAATAAGCCAAACAAAATGATAGAGCACGGTCATCACGGTCATCACGGTCATCACGGTCATCACGGTCATCACGGTCATCGCTTCGAAAGATTGCTGCAAAGCGACGGTTGAAGCTTTGTGGACCCGCCAGGGAACGGAACTGCCAAGCTTGTTGGGATCTTCGGCCTCACACATGAGCACCTCAGCATTTGTCAAGCTGCACTAAGCTGCACACACTGATTATCACTGCATTATTACAATTTATATATTGAATTATATATTATATTAATTTATAAAAAGATTATCACTCATTGCCTCATTGCCATGAGAGTGGAGACGCAGCTGTAAATGGATGTGTAAATGGCGTAATGAGATGCAACGGAATGCGCAATGATGCGCAATGCATGGTAGATATTGGTAGTGCCGCTGTGCCTGGAGTCTGAGGCATCTTCTGCGATCCGAATGGGTCAGTGGAGACGCTCTTACGGTCAAGATTAGAGTGGAAGTTTTGCCACCTGAAGATGGTTTCTTCACAAAGACAGTGAAGACCTCCAGAGTGGATGTGCCTCCATCATCATTGTGCCAGCATTTCCGGTCACTATTTGAGCCTCATTTCGGTCTTCACTACTTTTTCATTTTTCCCCAGCAGCATTGGCTTGGGGGTCTCAGGTTCTTCACTTTGCATGTGCGATGACCCCTTAGTGATAGAATAAGCGCATAAGCTTCGATGGTTTCCTGAGACATGCCGGGTTCCAAGCTCCGGCCTGCGGAAAGAGGTGATGGTACACTTCAGGTGTCGATTCGTGGGTCCAAAACCCCGGCCTGTACAAGCCTTCTTCACCTGCGCAAGCCTTGGTGATAGAATCTCTGAAGGATGGTGTCCTGAGATTCAAGCCAAGTGTAGGATTTACCTGCATCTACTTTGGTTTACCGCATTTTTTTTTACCACCCTCATGCCCCCTGGTGGACCTGTAAGGACGGCGGCCGGGGTGCTGATGTGACCTTTCTTGTGAAGGGAGAAGCAATTTGCGCTCATTCCCAGATCCTTCTAGCACGTTCCGATGTGTTTGCAAGTGAACTGCTGGGTGGAATGCAAGAATCGATCTCGAAAGAGATTGTCGTGGAAGACTGTGAGGGCGAGATTTTCAAAGCCATGCTGAGATTCCTGTACACAGAGCCTTGGAATCCTTGGAATTTGCATACACCTTTTAGATCCTTTTAGCACAATCTAGAATGCAGGAGCCGCATCAGGCTTTCTGGATGGGATCTTTGCTTGACTTGGGCTACACCCAACATGCAAAGAGATTGTGTGTTGCTGCAGCACAAGCCACATGTAGCCACACTTGTTTGTTTTTGGGGATTCTCCTGAATCCTCCTGCATGAAGCAGCTGCCACATGCAGCCAGCTAGTCGCTAGTCATCGCCAGTCAAGTGGCTAAGGACGACTTCGATCACATCCAAGAGCTGGTGGAACATGTTTGCAGATCGAATCAGACGTCGAATCAGGCTGGTGACAGCAGGAGTGCCAACTTGGCCAAAGTCAGTGCAGAGACCCTCGCTTGAATAGTGACCTTGAAGTGTTCATGAAGTCCTGAAATGAAATGTTTGTTGGGGTATTTCAAGATGCCATGACTGGGATCACTGGGATGATACATGATGATGTTGGGCATGTAGCATGTGACTTTGCCTTTTTTGACTTCATTGGTGATGCTGGAAATGTGATTCCGTGGTGCTCGTACGCTGAGGATCCAACTGCTGCACCAGCTTCTACAAATCAGTCACAGGTACCAGGCCATACTGTGTGTGTTTAGTCGTTTAGTTGTTTAGTCAACCTACCAAGCCCTGAATCAGCCTGAAGCATGTGAGTTGAAGTCTGTTGAAGTGCTTTTCAGTGCGCAGTCAGCACTATTCTAACTTAATTCTTGTCCGCAGATTCTGCAGGTTGCCCGTTTGCAGCTTTGGTGCGAGCAGCGGCTTTGCAATAGAATGACCGTGAGCGAGGTCTCCGGGGTACTTTGCCAAGCCAGCAGCCCAGTATTCAGATTTGACAAAATACTTCGTGAAAACGAGCAGATTAAGATCATACCCAAGCAATCATTTTGCTGTGATTGAAGTGGGCTTTGCTGAACAGTCTGCACACGTTCTGTGTGGCCAGTCGCAACCAGTAGCCAAGACAGCTGTAGCTTGCAACATCTTGCAACATCTTGCAACCAACGAGTGGTGTTTAGGCTGCATGGCCTAGGCGCATCTTTTTGATGCCAAGCAGCTACAGAGAGCCTGCCTTGCGTTCATCAAGGAGAACTTGGAAGCTGTTGCAATCACCCCCGGGCTGCTTGACGAGCTTGACAAATTTAAGACAATTTTGGACAAAGATGACAAAGGAGAAAGCAATGGAAAGCAATCCGAAAAATCACAAACTTTCAGCAATTTCTCATCAGCGTAAGACAATTCGACTGAGGTTTCTCAAGCTGACTACAGACTGGCCAGAAGTCATGCTGAAAGTCACTCTCTTCAATGCAGGCTTTGGAAGTATTTGCAAATTGTGTACAGTCGATGAATCTTGGACTCTAGGATTCTAGGAATTGTCGTTTCAAGTGACATTTAAGCGACTACAGTGACTACAGAGGTGTTGTTCCCTGATTCTCTGCGACAGGTCTTTCTGACAGCGCGGCTTGTCCAGTTGTTGAGGCACAACGAGAATGCCTGCGAGGTCTCAAGCGAAAACGTTTCCAATGAATTCAATGAACTGTGGAAAGAGATGAAAAGAGATGAAAAGAAATGAAAAGAGATGAAATGATGAAAAGAGCATAGAGAAACTTCTGTGCTCTACGATCTCTAGAGAGACTCTGGCCAGCGGCATAGCCGCATGGCATAGCGCGGTCGGGCCAGAGAGGCATTGCAAGGCTGATAGAGTGAATATCCCCTGCTTCGGGCCTTGCACTTTTGGCATACAAAGTGCCGTGAAATGCTCAAGGTTTCTCGGTGAAAAAGTGTGAGGGCAGCTGGGAGTGGCGTGGAACAGTTGGACGATGTGACGGTGAAGCTGATGAGTTGCCCGGCCCGGGAATGGCTCTGGCAGATCGCAGATCCTGGCAGATCCTGGCAGATCCTGGCAGGCTTCCAGGGACTTGGCCAGACTACTCCACTTTCTTGCAGGTCCGACATTCATTTTACGAAGTGTGGCTTTAACATGGTTTGAACATGTTTGACATATTTTGCAGTTTGGCAAGGCCTAGCCTAGCACGACAAGTATTCTACTAGAAGCTACCAAGTCCTGTGGAAGGCCTTGTCTCCAGACGAGCGCCCGCCGCCACCACCGCAGTCCACGTTCCAAAGTAAGTCCGCGGTCGATCTCTCAACCAGCCAATGCAGTGCTATGCAATGCTTTTCTGTCGTGCCTACGTCATAATTGCATAGAATTGCAAAGATGTAATAATGAGGTCACAATGGAGCAAGGAAGATTCCGAAACCAGGAGTGGCATGCAGCTAAGAATTTGCTAAGAGAAGTTTTTGCATTGCGCATGTACAGCTGGTAGAAATCATCCCTTTGTTTCAGCTGTAGGTGGGAAATCTGGGGTCCGAGTCCCACAGCTTTCTTGACATCTCATGCCGACAACTGTGAGAAAGCAATGTGACGTCCAATGTCATCCACATGATCCACATGTTTTGCAATGTTTCGCACTTCCAATCTGCTTCGAGTTTCGACTGCTCTTTCAGCTCTTTCAGGCTGGTCGTGGGGAGGTCGAAAACGACCAGTGCAGTTTTCTGGGCCAGGCACATTTTGGGCTATGCCCTGGTGGACCGGGAGGGGTGGAAAGGGTTCGCAGTGGCTTGCTGGGGCGACTGGTTTTGAATGTTTTTAAGGAGATGTGTAGAGATGTGCAGAGATGTGTAGAGTAGAGCTTCCACCTTGAGTTGAGAGTTTCAAGTCTTTCCCAAAAGAGATTCCAGCCACCGGAAGTATGAAGAGTCCGGGTTGCGAAGATTCGAAGATTCCGAGGGATTCCGGTTACAGGTGAAATCAGGTGAATATCTAGAGCAAATTTCATGCAATGATCTGAATTCGGCTGTCCGGGTCATCCTTCCCAGTCCAAAGTTGCTGCCTTTCTACGCTGACAGGTAAGTCTCCACCGGCAGTGTATGCAGTCACCTTTGGCATTGCAAGGACCTGAGAATGTTTCAACACGGAATTCCGAAGCTCTGGCCGTTCGGCAACAGGTCTCCGGGATGTCCTTTCTGGCAGCAATACTGTGTGGTCTCGGTCCCAACAAGTCGCTTCCCCAGGGCACAGTTAATCAGTTAATTGCAACATATTGCCACGCTTCATGGCAGTTTCATGATTTCAACATATTTCAACATATCTCAACGTCTTCGCATCACTTCAAAATATTTCAACGTAGCTTTTGTACATTTGAGTGCCTTTCCATGCCTTTCCATGCCTTTCCATGCCTTTCCATGCCTTTCCATGCCTTTCCATGCCTTTCCAACAACCTTGAGATGAGTCTGTGGTTCTTTCGCCGACCAAGACCTTTGACTGCGCTGCGGCGGATGCTGCTCTCGGAAAGTGAAGGTGAATAAATCGTTGCAGTTGCCAGTGCAGTTTATGCTGGGTGCGTTTAGCTCTTTGATTGAATATGTGGACCCGCTTGATCATGGCAGAGTTGGATGTCTATGCTCCTTTTTTTCCTGATAACCTTCAAAACACTTGTGTCTGTATATTCACATATTGACAATTATTATATTGACAATTATTAATAATTAATACACATGCACACATCTCTACACTGTATTTGGCTCAGCTTAAGCTGCGCAACCATGGAGCTGACAATTCCTCGAACGGGTGAGGCAAGCGCAGGTGCGAAAAGCTTACGGAGATTGACGCAAGGAACTTGCACTCTTTGTCAACTGTTGCAATGAGTTGGCGACATAGACATGCGGACGCCGGGATTCAATGGATGTAATGAATACAATATAATAAGATATAATAAGATGTTAAAATGTTAAAAGATATAGAAGTAATAAATAGTAGTGGGGAAGGTTTCGTTTTAGAACGCGGGATAATACTCAATTATGATTTCTTTGCGGTTTCCATGGTTTCCATGGTTTCCATGATTTGTCTGCGGTTTCCATGGTTTCCCTGTTGTCCAAGATTTCTGTACGGTTTTCATAGTTTGCACGGTTTCCATGGTTTCTGTGTTTCCTGAAGCCTCCCAATGCCAACAAGTGAACCATCCTGGAACCCTGAACAGCAACTGAGATCCCGACCCCAACCGGAAAAAACAAATGTTTCAACCCAAAAAACAAAACCAAGTTTCCCCAAAACTCCAAGCAGCCACCTCGCTGCTAGCTGACGCACCTTTGTGCCGCTTGACATCTAAAAGGCTTCGGTCCGGCCCAGATGCAGGTTCTTCAGGATTCCTAGACAACACCCGGTGAGTTGAAGTCTGGACAACACCCGGTGGGTTGAAGTCAAAGCAAAAGTGGAAGTATTTCCATTTGAGAATTGGGTAAATAGGGATGCATGGAATTCTTACACGCACTCCCCCTATGTGATCAGTTCCACTGACCACATATTCAGCTCAAGCCCTCTAAACAAGTCATAACAAGTCTATCATCTGCAGTGCAGCAAATCGCACATGGATTGAAGGCCCGAAGTGGACCATTGGATCCGGCATCACAACAATGCTCATAATCAACATGAAGTGCATATCCATGTGAGATCGCATACAGCCTATGTTGGGGAACGTCTGACTGTGGGCCACATCTGTGACATCGTGGCGTCAGACAAACTTCCTTGGCATGTCT